ATAATTTAAAAAATCACCAAAACACCCTGTGAAGTGTACAGTGCTTAATCGAGCCGAGCCGAGCTCGCGAGCCCACAAACTGAGCTTCACTGTGTTCGAACTCGACTCGGTTAACGAACCGAGTTCGAGTTCGAGTCGAACCGAGCCTTATCGAGCCGAGCTCTAAACGAACTTTTACCGAGCCAGCTCGGCTCGTTTACAGTCCTAGTCTCAATTCAATCTCTCAACTCCACTCTCCCTTGGACCCTTGCTCGATGACGGCATCACATCCCTCACTGGATTTCGGTGATGACGCACCTCCCTTCTCCCTTGCTCGACGATGACAGCACCTCCCTCGTTAGATTGCATCGCTCAACGACGGCAACACCTCCCTCGCTGGACTTTAGCAGCGACACACCTCCTTTCTCCTCCCTTCTCCCTTGCTCGACGAAGGCAACATTTCACTCATTGGATTTTGGCGACGACGCACCTCTTTTCTCCCTTGCTTGACGACGATGGATGATGACGCCTCCCTCCTTCGCTGGAATCGATGACGACAACACTTCTCTTGCTCAAAATTGACGAAGACAACGCCTCTCTCTTTTGTAAAGATATTTTCACTGTCTTTATTTGATAATCTATTGCTTTGATGCATAATTTGTTCACTGAATTTGTATGTTAAAAACACTTGCACCAAATGTTTTGTTATTAATTATTATGTATTTTGTCATTTAATTTGTAATGGATGATGTTTGGAGACTTTGGATTCTAGTTAAATCATGTTGGGATTGTTATTGAGTTTGAATTGGGTAGTAATTAAGTTGGTATTCTTATTGAAAATCTGAAATTTTCAAAAAAAAAAAAAAAAGATTTTTTTTTGGCTGTGCTAACATCACCGATCCAACCGGTCGGTCTAACCGGTTGACCCATGACCCGAGCAGTGAAGCGGGTAGTCTTCTGGTCCAAGTTTTAAAACAATGGTTTCATGCCGCATCACCAACTCCCTTCTCCCCTGTTTGGACTTTAAATAATCATTTTCTTTTTTTAAATTTACATGTTTATTTATTCTAAGCTTAATCCATGTCTTTTCTTAAACAAGTCTCTTGTTATGGCCTCAGAATTGACTAACCTCTAACCATATATATAGGGCATTTGTTATATTAAAAATTAACAATGAGGTGGTTTTTGATATATTTTTAACCATAGGAGTCAGTGTGTTAAATGTTATAAACTTAAACTTGAGGGAGATATAGAAATAAAACCCACCTAATAAAAGCATTTTTTCAAGGGTCTCTTTTCGTTGGGCCAGTTGCGCCTCAAGTAATTTGAAACCACGTGCTGCCAGACTCTAAACTAATGGCTCTGGTCGATGGTTTCGAATATTTTGTTGAATAATATTTTATAATAATAATATTGTATGTTTAGTTCATTATTTTGGATAGAATTTTAGGAATAATATTGGATAGTTAAGTAGAGTTATAATTACAAGAATATGATTTGCAGAACATGTGTTTAGTAGAGTATTTTGATCTTGATATTTGTATTGAATATTTGATTGATATATTATTTTATAAGTGATTTATTAATATAATATAAGTGAACATGTGACGTGAAGAAGCAGTGAAAGAAGAAAGAAGAAAATTGGAAGAAGCAGTGAAAGAAGAAAAATCAACTCACAAATAACTTTAGGCCTGTAACTGTCTTCAAACGGTCAGGAAGTGTCGGGATAATATTCTCAAGATTCTATTACACAAATATTCAACCAAACGTTATCTCCAAAATTGTTTGAAATATGTGTAAATATCCAACCAAACGCAACTAATGAAATCTATTTTTTTAATTGTACGACGATCCATTTTTAAAATATTTTCAAATATAAATAAGAATTAGGTAATATATTCCATTATTCCATATCCAATTTTCAAGTAAGCATTATTAACTCTTTTGGAAAAAATAAAAAATTTCATTCAATAATCTTTACAAGAACCAACATCAATTAACATTATTATTAGGTTTTTAAACAAATCATAAATTAATACATATATAGAAAAAACTATATTCCTAAAGACCATCTTCAAAATCTCTCAATAATTTCTTATTTTTATTACATTTATTTATCTAATATTTTCTAATTTAGATCTAAAAAGGTCAAGAGTTTATTCAATTGGGGCATTGTTCTAGAGGACAATAAAACCTTCATCAAAGACCATGAAGGCATTGACTTTTTAATATGACAATACCAATGTGTATCCTTAATTTCAATTATAAAAGATCTATCCAACTCGAATCACAATTTTTTAATAAAAGCAATCAACAAAATTACAATTCCCTGCATTGATTGGTAATTGGTTAGATGTATTTCAATGGTCCATAAATAGACCTTGCAAAGAAAATGAGGTGAATGAATCAAAAGATGCATTATGTAATACAAAATCAAGAAAGCCCCACTCATAATGAAAACAAAAAACTTGAATTTTCTATTTTCAAAATCTAAATTATTCAACTAAAACTAAAACAAACTAATACAAAAAAAAAAAAAAAAAAAAAAAAATCAAAAAAAAAACTGCTACTATTATTAATAATGAAAATTAATAAACTGAAAAATGTTTTTTGCTTTTTCAAAACGACCCTTCCGCAAAAACAGGTCAACTTACTCTTTCCTATATTAGGGGTTTTTCTCGGCCCTGCATATTAATCAAAAACAAAAATACCCTCAAAATTTGGAAAATAACAAATGGTCCATTTGGTTTGTTATTTTGGATAGGATTTTGAGAATAAAATTGGGTAGTTGAATAAGGTGAGTATTACGAGGTAAAATTTAAAATTTGACAAAAAAACCCTATAGGTTTGCTTATTTAACTAAACACCCCAATATATAAAATTTTTGTAAAATGACAAAAACACCCCCACCCACCCGTAGTGCCAGATTCTGGCCACTACCGTCGGAATCTGGTCGAAAAATGGCGTTACGATGCAGACCGGTCGGATCTAGCCGATTGTGCGTCGCTATGGCCTTTTTCGGCCAGATCCACCACAGATCTGGCAGGAAAAGGCTAGATCTACGACCATATCTGCCGTCGATGGCCGCAAAAGGCCAGATTTGGCCGTCAGCGACAACCAAAGATATGGTCATCATTGTCGGTCAACGACGACCAAATCTGGCCTTTTCTGGCTAGATCCACTGTGGATTTGATTGGAAAAGGCTAGATTGGCGAATTACCAGCCAGTTCCGATCGTTTCTACATCGTTGTGACAGATTCCAGAAATCACTGACAGTGGGTGGGTGGGTGGGGGTGTTTTTGTTAATTTTTAAACTTTTTTTCTAGGGGTGTTTAATTAAATTAATAAACTTAAGAGGAGTAAAAGGAATTAAAAAAATATAATAGTATTTCCCAAATAATTAAACAAACAAGTATTTTGGGAATATGATAGGGAATAAGGTATAAAATAATAAAACAAACGGACCCAAAAATTCCCTATTGTTAGTGAACCATTACTTTAGTGTTTATAAATTTATAATACGATAAATTACCGAACATTTACCTAATTAACCCTTCTTAATTTATTTTAACACCCAAAAATTAACCATATGAAAATTTATGGTTTTGTTAAAATTTATACCTTAGGGGAAATATTTTTATTAACCCTATAATATATACGTAGTTGGGTATCACAGTGAGGGAGCGGGTAGGTGCACCAGATCCCTCAGTTTGTCTTTCACCATTTGGTCTCACCAAAGCTNTTTGGAAAAAATAAAAAATTTCATTCAATAAATCTTTACAAGAACCAACATGAATTAATATTATTATTAGATTGATTTAAACAAATCATAAATTATATTACATATATAGAAAAACTATATTCCCTAAATGACCATCTTCAAAATCTCTCAATAATTTCTTATTTTTATTATATTTATTTATCTAAATATTTCTAACTTAGATTCTAAAAGAGCTCAAGAGTGTATTCAATTGGGGCATTGTTCTAGAGGACAAAATAAAACCTTCATCAAAGACCATGAAGGCATTGACTTTTTAATATGACAATACCAATGTGTATCATTAATTTCAATTATAAAAGATCTATCCAACTAGAATCACAATTTTTTAATAAAAGCAATCAACAAAATCAGTGGCGGATCCAGGAATTTCACTCGATGGGGGCAAAAAATAAACAAAAAAAATTTATGGGGGCAAAAGGTCAAAGTCTTATAAGGGGTAAAATGCAAGTAAATATAAATATTTATACAAACTGAAGTTTTTTAAAGTTTGAGTGGGGGCCGTAGTCCCCACTCGTCATTAAGTAAATCCGCCACTGAACAAAATTACAATTCCTTGCATTGATTGGTAATTGGTATATGTATATTGAATTGTTCCATAAATAGACCTTGCAAAGAAAATGAAGGTGAAATGAATCAAAAGATGCATTATGTAATACAAAATCAAGAAAAACCCAACTCAATAAATTAAAACAAAAAACTTGAATTTTCTATTTTCAAAAATCTCAATTAATCAACTAAAACTAAAAAAAAATAAAAAAAATCTACTACTATCATTAATAATGAAAATTAAATAAACTGAAAAATGTTTTTTGTTTTTTCAAAATGACCCTTCCACAAAAACAGGTCAACTTACTCTTTGCTACATTAGGGGTTTTTCTCGACCCTGTATATTAATCAAAAACAAAAATACCCTTAAAATTTGGGAAATAACAAAAATTCTCTATTGTTAGTGAACCATTACTTTAGTGTTTATAAATTTATAATATGATAAATTAACGAACATTTACCTAATTAACCCTTCTTAATTTATTTTAACACCCAAAAATTAACCATATGAAAATTTATGTTTTTGTTATAAATTTATACCTTAGGGGAAATATTTTTATTAACCCTATAATATATACGTAGTTGGGTATCACAGTGAGGGAGCGGGTAGGTGCACCAGATCCCTCAGTTTGTCTTTCACCATTTGGTCTCACCAAAGCTTTCCGATTTTCTAATTTCCCATTATTACCAACAGTCTTAATTAAAGATAAGAAATATAATATTCAACAAACTAAACAATATTTTCCTCGCCTACCCATCAATTTGTTCCTTTTTTTGTTTTCATATTTCACCTTTTTGCTTTGGAAACATCACTCTAAACCCAATAAATCTTACTTACTTCTGAGGTTCTCCAAAAAGTGTATCATGGACATGGAGTTTTTGCAGTCTTTAGATGGTCAGCTCCTCCTGGGTGGAGCTGTGGCTCTTCTCGCCATTCTTTTTGGTGCTTCCTTCTTATTTTCCTCCAAGAAGCCCAAAGGTTTCACCTTTCTCTCCATTACTTGTTTTAATTGTTTAAGGTTTTGATATTTTCAGTTATAATATGTTTTTGGTTGGTGGGTATTTTTTATTTGGTTAGTTTGTTAGTGTTGAGTGAGTTGTTAAAGTTATAAGAAATGTCAATGCTTTCAGTGTACTGTACATTTGGATTTGCTTATGATTTCTATTTGAGGAGTGTTGTGTTATAAATGTTTAATAAGCTTAACAATCTTGCTTGTGCCTCAATAAGTTTAATCATAAATTTGAGATCATTCTCTCTTCTATTCATCTCTTATAGTTAGTTTTTTGAATTGATTTGCTTGTTTTTGTTAAAAATGTTTTGTTTTTAGATGAATATTCATGATTTCTTGAAATTTAGTTATTGCATAGTGCAAATTGGGTATCATTTGGGATCTGAAAAAAAAGCTACAACAGTTTTATTCAAGTTACCTACATAGTACACGTTCTATGGATTCTATGACTTAAGTATCTCTTAATGACTAATCTTTCAAATATTAGTCAACCATCATTGAAAATTGACTTTTAGTTCAACTTAGAAGTTAACTAAATCCTGAAGACTTGGAAAAAAGGATTATATAGTTAGGATGTCAACAAGAATGGCATAAACTTTGTTCTAATTACTAATTAATTAAAAATCTAAAACGGGCCATGAACAAGCAAACTTGGTGAAATCTACCAGAACTGAGACTGAATGTATAATGTCCAAGCTCAGCAGCTCAATTTAATTTCATGGCTAAAGTTTATATACCTTACGCTTGTCATGGATGGCTGTTTTGGACTCAGTTGTACCTCAATCGATTCTGCTAAGTGCCCTTTTGCTCCTGAAGCTTTGCACTTATTCTGTTTGAATTCCCTTGTATTTTGCAGCATGGTGATATTGAATCCCTTTGCAGTCACTATTCTCTATTATAACTAACGTTTTAGATTGTAAATTTGGTTCTGCTTCTGTGTGAAACCATTTCTCTATGTTTTACAAATTGTTTGTCTATATTGTTATCTATCTAAACTTTCGTGTGCAATTACAGGGTGCTTGGATCCTGAGAATTTTAAGGAGTTTAAGCTTGTCAAACGTGCGCAGCTGAGCCATAATGTGGCAAAATTCACATTTGCACTTCCTGCACCTACTTCAGTTTTGGGTCTCCCAATTGGACAGCATATTAGCTGCAGGTTGGTTGATCTTCTGTATCCCACCTGGTGCAATGAGCAAAAGTCTCATTTGAATTGTTGTTCTTGTTTTCTGTCTCATATAATTTCATTTTTTAATCTAATGGTTGTTAGAAGTTTCAATTACCAACTGGTTTGTGAATGATTTTAATAGATAGAATGAAAGATTACTTTTTACCTTAGGCTTTAGCAGCAGCTGTTTAGAATTGTTGCCATTTATACTGTAACTGTTTTGAACAGGGGCAAAGATAGTCAAGGTGAAGAGGTTATTAAACCATATACCCCAACCACCTTAGATTCTGATGTTGGTCATTTTGAATTAGTTATTAAGGTATGTCACCTAAAAAAAATTATCTTGGTTGTCTTTACTTAGTTTCTTTAAGTATAAGTTTTTCTTTTCCCTCTTTTTTTTTTTTGAATTTTTATCCCTTCTGAATTTGCATTATTTTTGGATTTTACTTCTATATAGATGTACCCACAAGGTAGGATGTCTCACCATTTCCGTGAGATGCGTGTTGGTGATTATCTTGCTGTGAAGGGACCCAAGGTACAAATTCCTTTTGCTATTAATTTACTGAATTTCCTTTCACTGCATGCTTGTCACAGTATTCCTGTTATGACCCTTTATTTTAAGGCTGTTACACTAGAGATGAAAAAGGATGTTAAAATTAATTTTGTTGGATTCATCAATTAAATGTTTCTATCAATGCATCAATACTGAGTATGATGCACAAGTTCATGTCAGCCTTATCCAGCATTAATTTAATGCCATCCCAGGCAAACATCTAGTGGATTTTATAAACAAATTTCCTATGTTGCAAGTATATCAGAAAGAATCATTGAGCAAGTATAAAATTTCTTTCTCCTTATTAAATATATGCATTTTTCTTCTTGTTATTTGACACAATTTAAGAGTCTTACCGAATTATGATGAAATATTTAACAATCAAGTCATCATAACGAGTAAATCAGAATGCCTTTTATTTTCTCAGTGAATTGCATGGTTAAACTGTGAAATTATCAGTTGATTTCAGGTTTTCCTGGATTTGCTATTACCAAGGAACATTTATTTTTTTATATATCACTACTAAGAAGCATTAAATATTAAAATTTCAAGTTCATATTCCATCTTTTACATATGAAGTTGTCCTATGACAAAAATTTTTATTACTATAGAAAATCTGTTTCCACATAAGACATTCATGAATCACATTTGTGGTATAAGTTTGCAACTTGTGGTCATAATCAAAAGTCTGCTTCCTAGCTAACCTTCATAATGCTGGTTTAGTAATTCCGTGTATGAACTATGCTTGTATAATTCACATCGCTTCTATGAAAAATCTCTTATTTTGATTTCTGATCTTGAAATATTGCTGCTACCAGGGTCGATTCAGGTACCAACCCGGCCAAGTTAGAGCATTTGGGATGATAGCAGGAGGCTCTGGCATTACTCCAATGTTCCAAGTAGGTTGCTGAAATTAAACTTTTATCATTGTGTAGAGATCTTGGTCTGCCATAAATGTGAAAGTATTATATTTCAGAAGGTGTTGATGTTGATAGATACTTGATTTTTTTCATATGTTTTTCATTTAGGTTGCTAGGGCCATACTAGAGAACCCCAAAGACAAGACAAAGGTTCACCTCATTTATGCGAACGTTACATATGAGGACATTCTTTTGAAGGTAATTTATGCTCTTGTTTGTCAATTATTCAGCATTGTAGTCCTTGTTTTATTGAAAATTTCAAGATAATGTAGTTGAGCCATGCTTGGTCCTTCATATATCCCTTATGGAAATGGTTTTACATGCCTGTTAGTGGCTTGCTATGCATTGAGCAGTATGGAATCCTTGGTGGGTCCATTAAGTGGTCGACCAACATTTGCAAGATTAGTTGCCTTGTCTACATTAAGATAGATGACATTTTAGCCCATATAATTACTGAAAATTGGAACATACTGACTTCTGTAAAGACAGACATTATTAGAGGTGGATGGATGTGAACCACTTTGGAAAAACTTGGTAAATCTTAAGGAATCTTAGAATGCTCAAGATTTATAGGCAATTGGTTGGTTTTGCATTTTACTTTTCAGTAATCAATGTCAGCATTCTTCTTTTTCCGTAGTTAACTGGTTTTGCAATATAAACATGGCATTCCTTTCATTATTAATAGAGAGATGAACGGTCATCTTTCGTTAATAGGTACACATTTGTTCTTTGTCATGTGTTTTACATAATGTGATCATTATACCATCATGGGTGTAAATTACCAAGGATGAACTGCTTCAAAATGAATGATGTGTGGAAGGTAAAGAATGCAATATGTTAATATATGGATTTTTAGTTTATGAGAACAGATCATGATTGCTTTTTATAATGTGTTTGCAGGAAGAATTGGATGGACTTGCTGCTCAGTACCCTGATCGCTTCAAATGTTATTATGTTTTGAATCAGGTCAGTTATGTTTCTTACTTAACAAAACCGACTGTTAACATGTTTGGTTTAACAGAGTATCATTACACATTTTTATGTGTGTAGTACTATTCCAATGATGCAGAGCATTAAATTTGGCTTTGCAGATCTTAAATTAATCTCTATATTTTTGGATTTTTAAGGTTATAGTTTTCATGTAATGAGATTGCAAGATTAATTGAGGATATCAGATGTGAAAAATTTTGACTAGTAGAGTTGTTACGTGCTGGAATAATTAGACAGAATTTAGAACTATTGGTTGGAAAAAAGGAAAAGAAAATAATATAGATTTACATTAACTTCAAATTGACTGGATAAGGTTCCAAGTCCCACTTTAGTTGATCATTAATTTAACTGGCTTGTTCATCCAAATTGATAATAAGATAACATTTTTGATAATATAAAGCTTCTGAAGACTCAAATTTGATAGATTCAACAGAACTTTCTGAGTTGCAAATTAAAAATAGTTAAACATTCAAATATCTGAACTTCACTAAAATTTGATATTTTGTTTTCTAATCCTTGATGGCCTTATTACTGAAAAACTGCCTTCCCTGTTCAATGTTTAATTCCTCAGCCTCCTGAATCCTGGGATGGTGGTGTTGGCTTTGTTTCAAAGGAAATGATCCAAACCCATTGCCCTGCTCCAGCAGCTGATATTCAGGTAAAGCTTTCAAACTATTTTCATGGTGCTTCGTTTTTATGTTTAGTCAACTCATTAGCATTTTTTCCAGTTGGATTACAATTTTGAAGCTCTCCAAAACCCTTTTTTGTGTTGGATAGTTATCAAAACACTCTTTAAACATATCCATTGTTCTCATACTCGCTGACTGATTAAGAATTTAAGATATCTTTAGGTAAAAAATTTGACTGTAAGTTGCAACTTTCGTTTGTTGGATGTGCAGATTCTGAGGTGTGGTCCACCACCCATGAACAAAGCCATGGCTGCTCACGTTGAGCTCTTGGATATGCACCAGAGATGCAGTTCCAGTTCTAATCCTTTTCACGACTTCTTGAACCCTTCATCTGATTGATATTAGTCACGTGGCACTGGACACGAAAACACCCTTTTTTCTTCTCCCCTATAGCTTCTTTTTCAGTGCCAAAAATAACTGTTAAACTGGAACATGGAGCAATTATTGTAATTTATCTTTGCTTGACATTTGAAAAGATTTTTGCTAGAGTTCTATTTTTATCTTCTTAAACTGCATGTTTGTATTTTGGGTATTAATCAGATTAAGCTGAAATAATGTTAATCAAGGTAAGCTATGTGCCATTTCAGATGATAACAACATTAAACTAAATGAAAGATGGTTTGTTTCATAAGTACCTTTTTGGGGTTTTGGTATTTTTGAGGTGGGTTTTTCTTTTTCGATAATCCTAGAAAGGTAAAAGGAATAAGAATTAGAGTGAATAGTCGAGCAATTCGCGAGCTACTTGAGCTCGGCTCGTGAAAAGCTCGAACTCGACTCGAAGTCAATCAAGTTGAGCTCGGGCTCGGTGGCTCGTTTAAGGGGTCGAGCTAGTTCGATTAGGGCAAGCTCGCTCGATAGGCTGTTGAGCCTCATCATGCTCGAAGGCTAAATTGTAATTTTGTAACTTTTTTTTATTTTCAAGTTTTTAAAATGACAAATAACCCTTTCTCAAGTAACTCGAAGCTCAAGCTCGTTCGAGCTCGAGTGCGCACCCATACTCGTGAGCTTGAGCTTAAGCCTAAGTTTCAAGCTCAAATGAGCTAGGCTCGTACTCGAACTTGACATTGTTTACACAAACGTGACTCGTGTGTCAGATACTCGCTCGGCTCTAGACACCCCTATTAAGAATAATGACAATGACATGGAGTTCCTTTAAAATTTCCAATTTCTGCAGAGCTGAACAAAGAATTCCTACTTGGGTCTCAAATTTTCCCCTACCCACGCCATAGTATACCAGAAGCCCAATTATTGATAGACCTTTACCCAAATTGTTGAAGGCATCAAACAACAAAGGAAAACAAAATACTGTATCTTAGACATTACTGCGACAATGGCAACTACAAAATGCTTAACTGGCTGTTGGAGACAACAAAATTTGTCTATTCGGTGTTTCCTTGTTCAAACTTCAGTACTAAGTTTACCCAAGCCCCAAGCAGGTCAAAACCTCATTCACTCACCCTTAGTCACTTTCTCAAACTACTGAGTGAATTTTCCCAAATTTCAGTGCTTGATTTCCACAATTTTCAGTAAACTCATGGAACTAGACAACAATTCACAAACCATTGATTAATTATAATTCAACCCCATATATCAACACATTTACTCAAACAACGAATTTGAAGTTTGAATCGCTTTAAAATCAACAAAACATCATAAATATCAAACAAACCTTCAATGAACAGTAGTAATTTCATGTAAATAGTAGAAGAAAAGGCTAACTTTTGGATGGTGATTGGGTTGCCCAGCCCAAATTTTGTAAAAAGAATATCATATGTTATGAAAATGTCCCTAACTAAGCTTTACTGTTTTTTTCTAAGTTTAGTGGTAATTCTACTTGGTTTGTGTTATTTACAGCTTAGTAGTTGTGGTTGGAATTGGATGGTGACTGGGTTGCCAAGCCTAAATTTGGTACAATAAGTATCATAATATTGAAAATGTCCCTATCTAAGCTTTATTTTTCTCTAAGGTTTTGTGCTGATTCTACTTGTACTGCTTAATTTATGGGCATTAGTAGTTATATGGTTGGGCTTTTCAAGTGGTTGGGTGGTGACAAGGTTGCCCACCCCAAATTTGGTAAAAGAATATCACGTAAAATCATTTATATATAGTATAAATTGCCCCTAATTAATTTTCAACTACACTCGTTAAAACAGACAATTATTATTTAGTATATTTGAGGAATCGGCAAGTTTGTATATTTAAAGTTTTAGTATGTTTTAGCCACCATCTAATTTAGTAATATCCCATACTTTATTTTTTTTTTTTTTTTAATTTCCTTAATACAATGAGATGTGAGAAATTTACTTAGTTGACCATTTTAAAAAGTCAAATTAAAAAATATTAACTTTTAACTGGATTTTTAAGCAACTCTTATAAGATTTTTGCACACTTTTACCATGTCTTTCACACTTAATAATATGAAAATCGTTACTTCCATGAAATTTTAAAAAAAAAAAAAAAAGACTTTTGATTTAAGATTAAAAGGTAGAAAATTATGAATGGTTTCTTGGTTAATTTTTTTTTTTTTTTTTTTTTTATAAAGATATTAGTGCTAAAATGCATTTGAAATGTTGAAAATAGTTTTGGTGAAAAAAATAAAAAATAAAAAAAAAGAATTACATTAATTCAAATTGGGTTAAAAATTCATTTTTCTAGAAAAATACGAACACCCAAGCAATTTGAATAAACTCTAGTCTCTTGAGTCTAGTAACTCGAATCCAGTTGCTTGAGTCCACATCACTCGAATTCAGTTGCTCAAGTCTACTGGCTAGAGTGCATTATAATGCATTAACCTCAATTGAGCAGACCTTTTTGATGTTTGACAAGAGTCATAAAATTTGCATATAATCTATTATGCCAAATATCAATATCACCCATATAAAATATCCAAAAGTACACTTGAGTGAGGTTATATCATTATACCCCACTCGAGTGACTGGACTCGTGACTCGAATTTCCGCAATTTTTTTGGAAATCAGATTTTTCGATTCAGTATAGAATGTGGGTTTTTTTTTTTCTCCCTAAATATGCATATTTCACTTATATTAAATATATATGAACATAATATCACCATATATACAAACATACAAAAACGGTAAGGAGAAGAAAGAAGAAAAGAAGAAAAGAGGAGAAAGAAAGAAGTGAGGTGAATTGAGAGAAGGCAAAAACCGTCCAAAATTTGTATCAAGGTCTTACTTACAAAAGACAATTAACAGAGTTATTTTTACATTTGACTCTTAAAATAGTCATATAAGTAATTAGTTCTTGAGATATGAGCCTTTACATGGGCAAAATTATATCAATAATACTACTCTTACAACAGCTTCTTACAATCTTCTCTCACAATTCAATGTGATAGTTAACGTGGTTGCTGCCAGCTCAACTGTCATGTTAGCAAAATGACGTCAGATTCCCTCCAAAATAAAAAAATGAAATTCTTGAAATCCGAATTTTGATTGCTCCCTTATATTCATTTTGGGGGCGTTTGGTTTGAGGTTATATGAGATTACTAGGGTAATGTCATCTTATATTACTTGATTACCATGTTTGGTTGTCAAGCAATATAAGATACCGGTAATCTTCAAATACCAATAGTGGTTACTATTGGTAATATTGGAGGTAATATGATTACCTCCATTTTCTTAGGTATTTTAAGATTACCAGGGTTATTTTTTTTTTGTTACAATTTTATTCCTTATTAATAAAAATTTTGGACAATAATACCCCTACTTTAAAACAAATTTACATTAATATCCTATTTTAATTTTACCCTTGATTAATTAAAATTTTGGACAATAATGCCCTTATATTTAAAATAATTTAAAGACCATCACTGCCACCCAGCCACCACCGCCGACAGCGGGCCAACCACCATGGGCCGTCACCGAAAAATCACCGGAGTCCCTAAAAAAGAACGAGACTCGGTGGGAGACTCCGGGAGGCTTTGATATGGCCGTTTCCGGCCATATTGATGGCCGAAAACGGCCATATCAGGCCAGATCTAGTCGAAAATGGCCAGATCTATTCTAGCCATTTCCGGCCAGATCTGGTCGTTAACGGCCATGGACCTGGCCGTTAGCGGCCAGATCTATTCCAGCCAGAATAGATCTGGCCACTTTCGGCCATCAATATGGTCGGAAACGGCCATATCGAAGCCTCTTGGTCACGGTCATCTGCTAATGGGGACTTTCGGAGACTTCCGGCAGCGGTAGGTGGGGGGGTGATTTCATAATAAATTAAAGTTTTATATAAGCAGGGGTGTTTTAACTAAATCTGAAATATTGGGGGTTAAACGAAATTATTCAAAAATTAATAATAAAAATAATATTATATTAATATTTGAAAAGGGGACAATTTGGTAATTTAAATAACATACCCACCAATTTATTTCCCATAACCAAACATATTACTATAACATACCCACTAACTAACCAAACATATTTTTCTAAAGATTCCCAGTAATCTTCCAAGGTAATCTATCTTTCCAGTAATCCAACATTCCCAGTAATCTAACATTCCTTAACCAAACGCCCCCTTTGGGTTTTTCCCTAATTCATTTAAACCCTAAAAATTTAAATCTGTCAATTTCAATTTGTGAAAACCGTAGAAACCACCAACCTGAATTATTAACCACGACAACGGAGTCAGAGGGCTTCGCCGGTGGCCACCACTCACGAAGTCAACCACCAATTTTCCGGCCACCTTCCAACCACCAACACATGCTTTGATTACCACTACTTTTTTACACTATATCCTATCTTATTACCAACTTGACAGGGGCTTCATAAAATTTGCTAGAGTTTCCTTTGTTTGCTTGCTTGTAGGGCTTACTGTGTCTGTGTAGGAGTAGGTACCCCAAAACCAATCATATTGTTGTATATTGACTCTATGGATCATGTTATTCTATTAAGGCATTGTTTATATTATGTAAATCATATTCTATATGTATGTGTTAATATATGCCATTAGAATGGTTGAATTGTGACGAGGGAATCAAGCAGTGATAAATCTTGCTTATGAGATCCCTATGATCACTTATGATGACCATTCTAGAAACTTCCATAGCCCTACTAACATAGCGTTGAATGACCTTATCGGAAGGTAGTGATAGATCTCGCATGTCAAGGTTGTTTGGTTACAACTTAGTGTGACGCATGGGTGTTTGTTATTCACGAGTTCACCAGACTGGCCTATACCAGAGGATTCCATATAGATGGTAACCCCAATGTCTATGGAATATATCCTCTAACGGGTGGTGGTGCATGTGGTCTTTAGACTTGAGATCACTAGAGTGTCGTGTGTA